GAAATAATTACACGGAAACTGTATTCTTTCAAACACTGCCTGGCCCGGCTAGGTCCAGTTTCTTATTGGCTAGCTCTTACATATTGTTCTAACCCATTTCTAATATTCTGTGTAGCCCATGAGCTGGCTTACCAGAGAGGATCTTAACCTGCATCTGTCTGGAGCGGGAGAATCATGGCGACTCACTCAGCTTCTTTTTCCCAGCATTCTCCTCTGTCTACTCCGCCTACCTAATTTTCTATCCTATGAGGGCCGAGGCAGTTTCTTTATTATTAACCAATGAAATCAACAGATAAGATACAAGACCCACCTCCATCACTAAATAAAGCAAGAATTCCCTTTAAAAAAAAAAAAAAGGCCAAAATGCAGCAAATGGTACTATTGTAATTTTTGCTAAGAACTGTTCAAGTCTGGGATTCTAACTCACTGGCAGTCCTTCCTCAGTTTTTGTGAGGCCCTAGGTGATCCCTAATACTATGAAAGACAAAATAAGGAAAAGTGATAGGGATGACATGGGGAGGACACCTTGAGCTACAGCCAGGAACTCATGGATCAGCACTTGAAGAAGTATAGGTTTGATATATATTGAGTGGCTATTCCCACCAACCAGTTTCTCTGGATTTAGGACAGAACAGTGGACAAAGCAGACAAAACTCTGCCCTTGTGAACTTCTGGTAGGGTTAGGCCATCAACAAACATGAAAATGAAGGAAGATCATACTATGATAGAGACAGAAAATCTTATATGGAAAAGAAGGGTAAGATAGGCCCTGGAAGGTTGCAGTTTTATAAGGGGTCAAGGAAAGTTTCACTGAGAAGGAAATATTTCAGAGACATGTGGCATGAGGATATTGAAGGAGGGGAGAGAGTTCCAGATGGCTAGAAGAATATGTGGAAAATCTAAAGTTTGAATGGGTTTGTGTCAAGAATACCACTGCATATAGCACCATTAGAAGGAAGAGCATAGCAAGAAAGGAAGAGAGGTACTGTTTCTTTACGATGCAAATAAGTCATTGACAGGTTTTGAATTTCAATCATAATGAGATGGGAAGCCACTGAAAATTGCTGTCATGGATATGATACATAAAGAATTGCCCATGGGAGGAAACGGGAGGTTGTTTTAACAATCCAGGAAATTCTGGTTGGGATCAAAGGGTAATAAAGCAGCATAGGTAAATGATTATATCTTCCAAGTAAACATGATGAATTTAGTTGAAAAGTTGACATTAAGAAGTTTGCATGTCATTATGGAGGAATATTGTTCTTTATCAAGCCATGTACAAGGATCTCTATGGCTCCTAGAAGGAAAACTGAAGGTGAAGGAAGCAGAGAGGATGAAAGGAATGGAGAATATCCTAAGCCCCTATATTATTCCTTTAGTTCAACATGGAATTAATTTCTAATTCATATATAACTAACTGCTTTGTAATAACCATGACTTGGAAAATATATCTAAGCAATTGAAAGAAGTCTTTCTCACCTGTCTGGGAGGAATGGGAGGGCCCATTCAGCTTATGACATTACAGGCAGGTGAAAACATGTTCTGTAAAGGTGTGGTGCCTTAAGTCCTGCCTGTGGCTCAGAATCACCTTGACAGACCCTATTCAGTCCAGCTTCCAAACCAGACCTGCCATAAACATGACTAGGTGGACAGACAGTTCTCTACCCTGATAGAGGGGTGTGGACTGTCTTAAGGGAAAAGGCTAAAGTCTCTCTTGTTCATATGCCGTCACTCTGTCATTTCTTTCATAAGCTTTGGATTCACTTAGAAGATGAAAGTGTTTTATGGTATTCCTGGTTAGTTTCTAGACAATTTCTGTCAGTTTCTAAAATAGCAGTTATTTCTGTAACAGTATTAAGATGATTTGGATTTATTTAAAGTTTCTTTTGCAATCAGTCACACTCACACTCAGGGTTTTTCCAAATGATATACTATTGCAATAGATTAAACACGTGTGATACTTGACCTTTCTTCCATCTTTCTTCTACTGAATTGGAAAATTAATGCAATTTGTTAAAAAAAGTTCAATAGCCTCTTTTCAATAAATTATTTTAGATTCATTTTGTTGTGTTATCTTTCTGAAAGATGTCATGTGTGTTGATATGTATTTATTATCATTATCATGATTTTCACAAACTCACTAATCCATTTTTAGTGTAAGTTTCAATTTTCAATAATCATTCCCATGATTCCCTTCTACAGGATGAAAGAGAAAAAAATAAGCCAAGGAAATACATTTATAGTAAGCAGAAAAGCACACTCTCCAGTGCTTTGAGCACTCTATCTCCTGGAATTGTGAGTATGCTGATGCTCTGCAGAAAGAATTACAGCTACAGCTGTTGAGAGTAGGATATTATTTTGATGAACACAAATGCTTAGAATGTTTTCTGACAGTGGCCAGTGTTGGAAACATGGCTATGGACTGTGTTGAGTGCATGTTGAGATGCCATGCTGTTTGTTTCAAAAAGGAAGGAAGGGTCCATGAACCCTAAAATGCAGGTGATTTCTAGAACCTGGGAAAGATGATGAAAGATACTACTTTCAGTGGCCTCAGAAAGAAATATCGGCTTGTCTACTTTTGATTTTAACCTTGTAAGACTCATGCGAGTATTTTGAACTAAGTGACTAACAGATGAAAGCATGTCTATTGTATGAACCGTTTAATGGATGATGTTTTGTTATGCAGTAAGAGACAACAAATATAGCATGGCAGAGTTTACTACAAGGAGAGGCCAAGGTGTAAACTAACTAGATGTGAGGTGCATTTATGCTGCTGTGCAGAAGAGCAAGACAGACAGTGTTAACACAGAGAAGAGAAGAACATCCATAAGTGATATGAATGACTGTGTGGAGACCTGCCATTGTGGAATAAATTACTGAGAACTATTTTAAGATTTAAAATGAAGACTAATTTTGAGTATGAACTAAGAACATAGCAATGGGCATCAATGAGTGAAGAAGCACATTAGAGATGCCCCTCAGTAAAGGAGGTCTTCATAGTTTGATAACTGAACCATGTATACAAGCTTACTTCCACATCTACACACAAGTGTTGTTGTTGTCTTCCAAAAGGGACCCATGCCAATTTTTATTAGTAACTGGTAAGCAGCACACCAGCCTCATGTTTCAAGATTTCTCTAGGATACTATACTTAATATTCAGTCACCCAAGACAAATTCTCAAAAAGAATTTAGACCCATCATCTAAACTTCTAGCATCTCTGAAAAGTTTGTGTGAATTCTAACAAAATTGTGGCCTCAGCACCCTAGATAGAATTTCATGACAAGCTTAACACCTAGCTTTCCTTACAACTGAACTTTCAAGTACAGAATCAACCTTTTAATCATTCCTTAATATAGTTCTTATTTTCATGAAAAACATTAATAAATAAGTTTTGATGAAGGAGCATATTGGTACCAAATTCTGTGACCTGTAGAAATCTAATTTTAAGAACTACATTTTATGTGAAAGGCACAAATACTGTGACATAAAAGACTAAATAGTAACACCACAGGGTTAAAAATGATTTCTTAGGCACTTTCTGGAATGTGTCAAACAAAGTTACATGTTTATTTTACAACAACAAAAATGAGAACAAACCAACAACAGCAAAAATTGCATCCTTCTGCTCTCTCTACCATCCTGGAACTAACACTTCACAGCAGGAGTGAAGTAATCTCCTTGTCTCTCCCAGATTCAATTTATCTTGAACATGGTTCAGACATGTTGCTGTCCTTCAGCCCAAAACACTTTCAAATGTATCTAGGTTCAATTCTTTTTAGATACTCCTAAACTCCTATCTGTTATTTAACCTAAAACTCACTCAGTGTTTGCCAAATTAATACTATGTGCTCTGCTAATTTGTTTTCCTTTATGACACAAATATTATGCACTACAGAAATATTTTATAAATATTAACTGAACAATAACATGTCTACTAAAATCTTAAAAATTCTTTAAAGACTGATTTAACAGTTCAATCACACAAATGTTTCTATTTAAACTCCTTTTCAAATGTTAGTTAAGCCTCTCTATATCATACTGTATCTCTCCACGGTTTCCTCTACCCTTATTCAAAATATTCACAACTCCACATTCTATACTTCACAGAGCATAGGTGTCCTGCTCGGATCCCTAACTAGATTATAACCACTGAGTACCAGTAAGTACCTACTGGCAGATAACTTATTGCAATTTCTATCTCATACATAAGTTAACCATCTTTCCCAAGACCTTCTCCCTGATTTGCCGAGTCTTTATGCAGTACACAATTGGGTTCACCAAGGGTGGCACCAACAAGAACATATCTGCAATAAGGATTACACTTAGGGGGCTTTTGTGCTTGGCAAAGCGATGGATGGCAGCCAGAGTGATGATGGGCACATAGAAGATGAGCACAGCATAGATGTGGGAGACGCAGGTATTTAGGGCCTTGAGCCTTTCTGCCAGAGATGCAATGCTGAGTACTGTCTTCAAGATCAGCAGGTAAGATACAACAATCAAGGCAAAGTCCAGCATGGTACAGAGAGCCACAAAGAAGCCATAGATGAAATTGACCTTGTTATCAGAGCAGGCCAGTTTCATGACATCCTGATGAAGGCAGTATGAATGAGAGAGGAGATTCTTCTGACAGTATTTCAATCGCCTTAGAGTGAAAGGAAACGGAAGCACTAAAGCTGTGCTCCTGAAGGCTAACATTAGTCCCATCTTAGCAACTCTACTGCCAGTGAGGATAGAACTGTATCTTAAGGGATTGTGAATGGCAAGAAAGTGGTCCAAAGACATAATTAGAAGCACAGAGGATTCCATGACAGTGAACCCATGGATAAAGAACTCTTAAGCAAAGCAGGCATTGGGTGAGATTCCCACAGCATTGAGAAAGAAGATCCTAAACATGGTAGGAAGGGAAGAGAAGGACAAGCCCATATCAGAGACAGCCAACATGGTAAGGAAATAATACTTGGGCTCATGAAGGGAGGACTCTGTCTTGGTGACAAAAATGATAATGCAGTTACCTGTGATAGCAATGAGGTACATGAGGAAGATGGGATGGAGATCCATGTGTGAGCATATTCCAGTCCTGGGATCAAGAAGTCAAGAAGAAAATGCTGGACTTCGGAGTTGTTAAGAACAGACATGTGGATGTGGGAGACTAGAAGCTCGTTAACTATATCTGAAACCATGTGAGAGAAATTTTAGGTGATAATCAGTTTTACAGTTTTACAGAAATGAGTTCTATACGTTGCATTAAAGCATATGCATATTTAGCATATGCAGCTAGAGCGTTCTTCCAAAGTTACTGTACGTCCTTCATGTTTATATCCTCCAGTGCAACAAAATCACAACTTTTCTAAATTGCTGGCAATTCAACTGTTTTTTTTATATCAGTTTAAAATATTTCCAGAATCCTTTGCACTGCTTTCCCCACACAACCTTAAATAATTTCCATGTTAGATTTACAACAAATCCCTGAATTTCACAGAAGAAAATCTGAAACAATAGTCTACTAAAATGCTCATTGATCACTGAAAATAGTATGGAAAGCAATAACTGCTAGAAAGCAAGTTTAATTAATTAATGTCTTACTCTTAAGAGGTAGGTTTTCATTATGCACATAATATACATGAATAAATACATTAGGAACTTTATAAGAATCAAAATAAGAAAGTGGTTCAAGCATAATAGCCACAGCTTTAATTGGTATTAATTTATTTATTCTATCTGACTGATCTGACCCTCATTTTGTATCAGTAAATTTTATCTAATCTCTTTAGATTTTTATGTTATATATATTTTTGAAGAATCAAAGACACATCTAAATTTATAACATTACAACTATTTTTAAATATTAACATTGTTTACACACT